CATTGGATGGATTAATCCACTGATTAGATTACAGCTCTCATGATCTGATCATTTCACATCTTGCACTATTAATACAGGAGCTTTTGGGGGACACCTCATATCCAAACTATGACATGCCTTTGACCCATGTCTACTTCTCCCCAACTTCCCCAAGAGCCCATAGCTCCCACCCTCAGTGGATTATGGAGACTAGACCCTCTGGCTACTAAGGTCCTCTGACAAGATTGGTTTTAGCTGGATGGGAGGCAACTCATCACCTTGAACTAGGGGAGAGCAGGGAGGTGGGCTGGAGAGGTGGCCCCAGGCAGGGCTTGCTAGGTGGCAATTGGCAGGCTTGGGCAGGCTTGGGACATGGCCTGAGCTCTGTTTCCATTTCCAGAAGGCTGTTGAGGGGACCATGCTCCCCAGAGGGAATCAACAAGAAGCTGGGACACCACCAGAGGAATCATTGCCACCAAGGTGCAAAAGACTGGCTTGCACTTGAGTGACCTTGGGCAGCTTGTCACACCCTGAGGTGGCCCTGGGCAACTTGACCCGAGGTTGCCCTTTTGCACCACACAGAGGAGTAAAGCTCCTCCTGGGCACGGGATAAACCTGCAGCGGCAAGGGTAGTAAGCCTGGCCTTGGGGGAGTTGGGGAGTTGAGGCCCTGGGTTCCCAGGGGCCACAGGCAGCCAGGCTCTGCCTGCACCAGGGGTCACAGGAGCTCTAGTCCAGAAGAAACAACGCCCAGCAGGACAGCTAGATTCACCAACAGCCGGGGTCCAGTTTTCTAGTTTCATCTCCCCAGGCCCCGCCAAGATGCCTCATTTCTCAGATGGAGAAGCCAAGGTCCAGAGGCATGGTGAAGTGTGCCAGCACCTTCATATCTGGCTGAGACAGACCTCAAAGTGAGCCCCACAAGAGTCAAGGCTAACAATGGTTTGCCTTCAAGTTCAAGCTCTCCAAGCATCAGGACACTGCCCAAGGGCACCACCGGCACCTACATGCTGTCCAACAACAAAAACAAACAAAATCACTTTCGGGGGTTGGCGAGGTCTGGTTTCGAATTAACTTTCATGTCTGCTTTCCAGAGTCAGCGCCAATCACAGAAACCAAATCTGAAGTCAGAGCCACCTGTAAATCAGTGTCAAATGAGCCACTAGGGGGCAGGTTTGTCTCAGGGTGTCCCCTCTCCCCCAAGCAATTTTCTACTGCTGGGTTCTGGTCTAGAGCCAGATGTCATTGTGCCCCTAGAGGGAATGGTCAGCTCGTGAGTGGACTCTGCCTCAGGTCTGGGTTGTCCACTTGCCCTTAGATGTTTTCTTTTTCTTTCTCTCTTCTTCTCCTCCTCATTCTCGTTCTGCCCACCCCCCCTTTCTCCTCCCCACCCCTCTTTTTTTTGGTACTGGGGAATGAACTCAGGAGTGCTTAACCACTGAGACACATCCCCAGTCCTTTTTATTTTTTATTTTGGACAGGGTCTCCCTAAACTGCTTGGGACCTTGCTAAGTTATTAAGGCTGGCCTTGAAATTACAATCCTTGTGCCTCAGCCTCCCAAGCCCTTGACTGCTCTCATGCCCACTCTGTTGTCTTTGAATGTCAAACAATAGCAGTCACCAGGCACGGAGGATATATTATGCATACAGTTTGGGCTCATTATTTTTATCTGAATTCGACATTACCACATTACCACTGTGCCCATTTGATAAGAGGAAAAGACAGATTCAGAGATGGGCAGTGACTCCTTCAAGGCCACACGGCCTAGGAGGAGTGGGACTGAAATTCCCACGTCTGTCAACACTCTTGGCTGTTACATTATACTGTCCCCATCCTCAGCAATGCCTTGCTCATTTTATTGCTTTGTAATAAAATTTTAGCTTCAGGGCCTCCTGCTATAGCTGGAGGAAGACTTCAAGGACATCAGGGTCTGGTCTAATGTTTACTATGCTTTCTTCCCTGCAGAACCTGTTACTCCAAAGAAATTATATAAATAGACAAATAGACTCACTCAGCTTAGTAGGGTTGCTCCCAAAGCAAGGTCCAGCAGCAGCACCTCCTCTGGGAACTTGTTAGAGAAACCATTTCTCTGCCCGCCTCAGACATGCTGATCCACTCCGGACCAGTGACCCTGGGTTAACAGGACCCCCAGGGGAGTCTGGTGCTGACGGAGGCTGAGTGAGGCGGGGCGTAGGAAAAGCCACCTCCTGGGGGAGATGGAAAACCCTCCCCTCACTCAAATGGAGCTGCTGCTGCTACTAGTTGTGCACCCAGATTTGTTGATCGGTGGCCATGTCGACTTTTGAACATTTGCTACTCCAGCTCAAGTACTTCTGGCGCCTTGGAGTTCACAGTCTCTTGTAGCATGTGGGTTGAGTGTAAGACCAAGGAGAGCTGACCACGTACATACAGACACAGTCCATGGGCTCCACTCATGGCCCTCCCACTGCCCATGACCATCCCAGCTGCCCAGAATGGACAGAGTGTAATGGAGGCTAGCAGACCAACAATGTCAAGTGCAGAGAACCCCCACCTTGCCCCTTCTATGGTGTCCACATCCTCATCCCTAGAACCTGTGAATATGAGCTTATGTTCAAAAGGGATTCGGCAGGTGTGAATCACTGAGGGACTGTGGGTGCATGGGAGGATTTTCCTGGACTGTCCAGTGGGCCTAGGAGGGTCCTTGTGAAGGGAGGCAGAGGGAGAGGAGAGATACCCCTGCTGACCTCAGAGGTGGATCAGCCATGAGCCATGGGAGGTAGGTGTCCCCTAGGGGCTGGGAAGGCAAAGGAAGAGCTCAGCCAAGACCCTCCAGAAGGCAGGCAGTCCACAGACCCCTTGCAGACTTTTGGCCCTCAGGACCATACAAGAACAGACCGGTGCTGCTTTAAGGTGCCGGGACTGTGGCATTTTGTCACAGCAGCCATAGCAAACTAATACACACTCTTGCTGGGCTTCTAGCATCTGCCAAGTGACTCAGAGCCCCACATGCGCTATTCCAGGGACCTGAGCCATCCTCTCGCCTCCTGCCTGTGCCTTCAGCTTTCCCGCCTTGGCCAGAAGTCTATTCCCAGGTAGGCCCCCCAGCCCCTCCTGGCTGGACCAGGCCTCCCCCCCTCCACTGTGGCTCTTTGCTCTGAAGAACCACCCGACCTGATCTCCCTCATTCCCTCCTTCACTGGCCCCAAGGTCTCTAGTCCCCTATGCCTGTCCCCAACGCCTCTGTCCTATATTTATTGACTGTTTCTCTCCTCCTGCTGGGCTGAGGCTCCATGAAATCAGGCCCAGCCTAATCAGCACCACAGCTGTGTGTGGAGCCATTGGATGGGGTTGGCCAGGTGAGGAAGGCCAGGGCCACTCTATGCTCAGCTGTTTCCTGGAGCTCTTCTGGCACAACCTTCCTGCACACCCCACTTCTTCCTGCCATTCAGTCAGTCAACAGATATTTATTGAACACCTAGTATGTACCCACCTCTTACTTCCAGTCCCAGGGGACAACAGTGTCCTAAACAGATGAGGACACTCAAAGGAATAAGGAAGGAAGTGGAGTAGGTGCTGAACTAACCTTAGAGCCTGAGGCCAGCAGGTGGCCTGTGAGCGGATGACACAAACCCAGGCTTCCCAGCTCTGAGTCATATTATTGTCTATAGCGCAAAATCATCGCTGAGACACGCTCATGCCCACGAGCCAAGCACACAGGGGGCCGAGGGCTTCCGCTGGCTTGTCTGCCGTGAGGCACGAGGTACAAGGGTGAAGCACGCACACCAGTGACCACAGCTCCTCGACCCAAATCCCGGCCCTGGGCCTCAGTAGCTGTGCCACCTCAGGCCACTCAATCTTTATGAGCCCATTTCCGCATCTGGAGACAGAGGTGACCCAGTAACCTTGGTTCTAACTTAGATAATGGGATCTGATGAAGGATCAGCCCCTGCGGGCCCAGACCCTGGCTCCAGTGTGTGCTCAACCTGCAATAAATGCCAATCTTGGCTTTTTTTTTTTCCTGCTTATGTTTCTTCTTTTTTTGGTCATTTGCTAGAATGCAGTAGCAGGTGCCAAGAAGGTAGGAAAGACATTCACGGAAGAATAATTCTCTCCATGATCTATTTGTTGTTTTGTTTGGGCGGCAGAACACATCGGCTGAGCTCATCATCAGGTCTGCTTCTCCCGTTGGACCAGATGCTCCCTGAGGGTCTGGGACGTGATTACACGGACCTGAGTTACACGGACACGCTGGGATGGTGGGGGGGTTGCTAAGGACCGGAAGGCGGACAGCTGCCTTCCTCTCTGACTCTCACAGGAGGAATCCACGGGAGGCACTTTGCTCTGAGTCTGGAGGGTGAGACCCTGAGCCCTGGGAAGAACAAGGATCTTCCGGAACCAGACTGGCTGCGCCTGGACATGAAGGTCCACATGGAGTGGAGGCTTATGGGGCACAGTGAGACAGAGACTCAAGGGCATGGAGTGAGGGTCCAGAGAGGAGCCCTTAGAGAGACCGTAGGCCTTTCACACACGCAGCCAATGACCCACGTTGGGTGGACTCCTGGCCTGGGGGAGGGCAGCGCCTGAGTTCTTCTGTCAGTAGATCCCCCTAATGCCCTGACCTCCTACCAGAAGGCTCCCCCTTCCCCAAATCCCTAAAAAGACTGGAGAGCACAGAGGCACAGGGGGAATGGTACGTGTCTTCCCTTGCTGGGAGCGAGCGAGGCCCTCCACAGCCTGGGCAGCGGTGGAAGGACGAGCTGGACTCCAGCCTCACTGCCAGCTCTCAGGGTGGGCTGCCTTCCTCTTGGCCACATCAGCTGCTCCCCAGGTCTTCGTGGTGGGCTCACCATCAGTTCTGCTTCTCCCACTGGACCAGACGCTCCCTGAGGGTGGGAGCAAGCTGTGAGAGCCTCGGGGAATCCATCCCTCTCTGGACCTCAGGTTGCCCCTGTCCTTGTGAAACGAGGGGTAGAGCTTAAGGGCCCCCTGGCCTTCTCTGACAGCGGAAGCCTGTTTCCTGCATGAAGCCAGCCCTGCAACCACATCCAAGAGCTTTAATTGTGGGATGGAGAAGACAGAACCGTGGGTTGGGGGACATGCCTGATTCTAGGAGCTGCTCCATGGGCGAGCTCCAACACTCCACGCTGGCCCGTGCAGGGCTGCCCGGGCTCTCCAGGTGGCTCATGCGAGCTGCTGGTGGGGCGGCAGTTCTCAGAAGTGTGGCTTCAGGCGAGGGGGAGGCACGGGGATGGCATGCTCCCGCCTGGACATAGCGCTCAAGGGCGGTCTGGGGTAGGAGGAAGTGTAGACGCTCTCCCTCCAGCCAGTCTTGGGGAGCATCCACTGCTGCTTCAGCCGCTCATAGAGTCCATAGTTTGTGGGCGGAGCTGCAAGAGAAAGCGAGTCTGGGTGACACGGTTTGGAGCAGTCTTGTACAGACTGACCATGGAGACACTGGAGGCTTACCCAGGCTGTTGTACCAGGGACAGAAGCTGGCAGGGCAACCAGAGGGTAGGGCTTCCTACCCGTGGCCCATTTTCTTTTACCCTCTCTGAAATTATCTTATTTACCTGATCACCAGCTGTTGGGTCATTAATGGTGTATTGTCTTTCTCCCCACTGGAACGTCACCTCCCCAGGGGCAGAAATCCTCTGTGCTTGTCACCACTGTGTCCCCAGGTGCCACTACAAGATAATGCCAGTGGGGAAATAGTCCCTGCTTGCTGAGAGAATGACCATGGGGAGGCTTCCTGCCACCTGGGCTCCAGGTAAATGCCGCCTGGGCTGCCCAGGTGAGTGTCATTAGGAGCATGTCCCCAGGTTCAAGAAGAGTGAGCAGGTGGAGGCCCTGAGCAGATGATAGGACTCCTCCTGCTGCTTGCTTTGAGCCAGAGGCCTCAGGTAATCCTCCTACACAAGCCCTGTGCATCTGTGACCCTTTCCAGGCCAACACGGGGGGGGGGGGATTCTGAATTTTGAAAGTACCAAGAAGAGGGAAGTCGACCTTCTCTGGAAGCCACAGCAACTTCTGTCTACTCCAGGTGCGGAGAGTGGGCAAGGCCGGATTGTAATTATGCCTGTTGTAATGGTCGTCATAAGAGCTGATCAGGTAGCGGTGGGAGGGCTCCTGGTGGTGGGTGATCAGGTGTTTGTACGGGATCCCCTGGAAGGTTAGACAGAGCAGGCACATTAGCCATCAGAGCAAGGTGTCCACCTGACCACGGACGGAGGTAGGAGCAGCCCTTCATGAAGCTGTGGCCTTGATGGAGAGGAGCCCCCCACCCCGGTTGGCAGTAAGTCGCAGAGGCCCCCAAAATGGGAAATACAAGTGTTTGTCCCCCTCTGATGCGGCCTTCCTTCCAACACATGTCCCAGCTAGCCACAGGCAGCCTATGCCAAGCCCATTCATCCCTGGAATGAGCGATGGTGGCGGATTAAAGTCAGGACCCTGGGTGAGCGGGAAGACTCAGACGCTCACTGTGCGCCCTCGTGATCCGAAATTACACCCTTTGATTTGTCTCAAGTTCACCCACCCAAGTGCCTATTTCCAAGGCCAGCGGCAGATGCTGGGTGCCAGCCTGATGGCCGTGCCTCACAATTCAGTCAGTTATACCGTGGGAAGAACCCGAGGGGGTCCGTAAATTGCCTTCCCTCGTGAAGGATTTACAGCTCCCTCAGCTAGGAAGCAGGGGCTCCGACTCTTTGGTGGGGAGTTATTTACGGGGAGAAAAAGACCAAATTCGTACGGAGATGGAAGGTTTGACTGAGTCAGTGGATTTCTTGAAAGAGTCCCCTCGGTCCGGAAGGGAACCCTGGGGAACTGGGATGATTTACGGGGGGTGATAATGTGGATTTCCATGTGTGTCCTCTTGTTTGGAGCAGAGAGGGAGGTCTGAGTCGGCCACGGTTGGCTACACCCAAGAGTTCAAGGGGTGGCTCCATAAATAAGCCAGATCACAATACCAGAGGGGACAAATGACAGTGGGCACAGACACTAAGCAAGGTTCCCAAGATGTACACCATCAGGTGCCCGGGAGTATTTCCAGTGCCAGGACAGTGAGCCGAGGGGGTCCCCCCAACAGAGTGAGTGCAGAGGAGGCCCCAGAGCAGGGAAAGGAGAGGCCACAGTGGGGGTTCTGGACACTTCGTTTGGTTCTGGTGTGGCCTGCTGGCTTCACTGTGGCTTGTTTTAATCAGGTATGAAAAGGAGGCAGACATGGGAACAACCACCTCTGAATAAAGAATCCAATTCTCATGTGGAGGGGACAGGCCATAACCATGCAGGGCCACTGGGGGGCAGCACCGGGCAAGGCAGCAGGTAGGTGTGGGGGACCCCAGCCGCCTCTGGGGTTCCTGTGGGAGGGAGGCAGCTAGGCAGGGTAGGCACCTTCAAGCAAGTTTAGGATTGGATAGTTTAAGTTCAGAGAGCTCTGGGACACAGGAGTGGTCTCTAGTTTTCCAGCCCTGGATTGAATTAGAGCAGAGGAAATATTGACCTGGTGTGCAAGAATTAGATAAGTAGGGGAGGTGGGGCTGCGGGCGTGGGGTGGTTGGTGTCCACAGGAGAGATGTACGAGAGGTGTACTCATAAGCAAGTTGCTTGTTAGAGTTAGGAATTAGCTAACCCGGGGCCTCTCTCCAGGATCCAAAAGGCCCCTGAGATGTCAAACCAGCATCAAATACAGGCAATTTAAAATGTGATTAGTACACCTGCTGGGGGGGGGTGGGGTCGGGAAGAGGGCCCTCCCTGGGCAATGACTCCACAGTCTATGGTCATTTTGGAGACCATAGAATTTGCCTAAAAAGGGAGAAAAGTAAGGTGGGGGTGGCAGAGAAGAAAGACGCTGTCCTAGGAGGAGGGATCTAAATGAAGCTTGGAAATGAAGGAGCTTCTTGGGGCAATGCGTCGACACCCAGGGCCCTGGCACACAGACAGGCGACCATACACTTAGAAATGAGTGGACGATGGTTTTTGTTGTTGTTGTTGTTGTTTTCCTATTAATGTGTGTTGGGTTCAGGGGGCTTTTTATTTAACCAGACTTCCTTAAGCTCTTGAGTCTAGGTTTGTGTGGGTCCAAAGGTCTTTAGGAAAGGCTTCCTGGTGCTCTGTGTTGAGAGAAAATTGACCCCTCACGTGGGCAGAGGGGACTGGGAGCCCCACATGGTGGGTTCTGAGAGTGATCCGCTGAGGTTAAGGGGCACTTCTGTCTTCCATGTACACTAATGGTGACAGCCAGCAGCCGCAGAGTGTTAGCACGGCTTGGAGATGCCAGCATCCTCAGCTAGAGATGCCGTGTGATTCAGGGGTGCCCACAGGGCCTGGGGGTGTCATTGTGGCCCAGGGATGCCTGCAGAGAGCTGAAAACCTGACACTATTTATCCTGACATGGGTCCCCAGGTGCAGAAGACATGTGGTTGCTTTGCCCAATTTACAGAGCAGCCACCTGCTTGTCCCCTAACCATCAGCCTCCCCGCTTTGGTAGATACCACCTCTGTGTACTGAGCGGAACCATCTCTTGGTCCCTGTGAGCTCTAAAAGGCCCTGATTGTGACAGACCTCCACCACCGTGCTCCAGGCCTCCCCATCCAGGTTCAAGCAGGTCAAGGTTCAGAGAGTGGGAGACAAAGATGACCGCCAAGCTGAAAGGCTGGCAAAAGAAGTCACTTGGGATTCTGAGCATGATAGAGCTGGTGGGTGAAAGGGGCATGCCTGGCAGGGACGCCCACAGAGGTTGATGGAGGAGGCTCCCTGCTGTTCCTGGAGAAGCCAGGATCTCTGTGCCCCTGAGGCATCTCAGATGTCCCCTGTGTTGGCATGTGTCCTGAGGTTGCTTCCTGCTCCCAGAGCACAATGATAGCCCCCCGAGCTTTGGAGGGGGCACTCCTAAATGTGGGGTGCGTTCTCTCTTACCTCATTTTTCCTCTCCCTATACCACCTGGAGATCCGATCAGGCTTGTGGCCGGGGAAGGGGACGTACTCCTTTCTATGAAGGCTCTGGGGTGTCTTCTCAGTGGCTTTGATGAACTAGAAAAGACAAAATATTCAAGAAAATATCTGAGATGTGGCTTCTCAACCTTCTGCTGAGTTCCCTCACATCCTGGGCCATCAGAAGATGGGCCGAGGAAGACAAAGTTCAAAGTCAGGACATTCCACGTGACACAGGAAAGACACGCTCGGGGACTGAGCACCCCCTCAGCACCCCTGGAGAGCAGCTGTTGCTCCCCGGCTGCCTCTCGGCCTCACTCTGTCCTTTCTCACCTCCTCTCCTCTCTCCTCCTCTCTCCTCCTCCTCTCTTTCTCCTTTTTTCTTCTTTGTTCCTCACTCTTCCCAACTCCACTGTCTCTCTTTTTGTTGTATCATGTTTTCTAATTAGTTTTCTTAAAATTTAATGTGGCCAGATATTAAACATTTACAACTTTGCGCCATTTAATGGCATTTCAATGGCGTTATGTGTGTTCCCGTTGCTGTGTAACCATCACTGCCCTCCAACTCCAGAACTTTCCATCCCAAACTGAACCTCTGCCCCTGTCAAACACCCCCTCCCCATTCTCCTTCCCCAGCCATTCTACTTCCTGTCTCTATGAAATTGCCTGTTATGGGCACCTCAAGTAAGCAGAATCTTACAGTATTATCCTTTGTGTCCAATTTATTCACTTAGATGCTATTAGATTGGTTGGCTGGTTGGTTGGTTGGTACCATGATTGAACCCAGGAGTGCTCAACCACTAAGCCCCAACCCTGGTGCTTTTTATTTTTTTATTTTAAGACAAGGTCTCACTAACTTGCTTAGGTGCTCAACCAAGTTGCTGAGGCTGGCCTCTAACCTGTGATCCTCCTGTCTTACCCTCTGGAGTCGCTGGGATTATAGGCATGCTGTCTTCAAGATCCATTCATCTTGTTGCATATTTAAGAGTTTTCTTCCTCTTAAAGGCTGAATAACATTTTCTTGTGTATATATGCCATATTTTTTTTTTCTGTGCACCCATTAATGGGTACCTGGACTGTTCCCACTTTTGGCTGCTATGAATAACATTGCTATGAACATGGAGTCCCTGCTCACCATCTTCTACAGATCCAGAGAATTCCCGGATCATATGGTAATCCTGTGCTTAATTTTTGCTACACCCTTTCACATTCCCACCATAATGCACTAGAGTTCCCACGTATCCATGTCGTCTCACCAACACTTGTTCTTGTCCTTTCTTTCTTTCTTCCATCTTTTGTGTGTGTGTGTGTGTGTATGCACATGCACCCATGCTGCTGGGGGTGGGACCCAGGGTCTTGCCCTTGCTCTACCACTGAGCCACTCCCAGCCCCATTATTTGTCAGTGAGTATGGAGTGGTAATTTCACTGTGGTTTTGATTGGTGTTATTCTAATGATACTGGTGTTCAACAGTTTTCATGTGCTTATTTCATAGCCATTTGACTATTCAAGTCCAATGCCAATGTTTAACTTGGGTTGTTTGGATTTGTGTTGTTGAGTTGTAGGTAGCCCTTACCTGTATCTTGGATGTGTAATTGGCAGATATGTTCTCCATCCCGTAGGCTGCCATTTGTCTCTTGCTATTAGTGTTCTCTCATATTGGCTTTTTTTTTAAATTTTGATGACATCCAACTTAACTGTTTTTGGTTCTGTTGCCTGTGCTTTTGGTGTTATACACAACCACTGCCAAATCCTGTCTCATGAAACTTTCCCCCTATATTTTCTTCCAGGAGTTTTACAGTTTGAGGTCTCCTCTGGGTCTTTGCTCCACTTTGAATTAATTCTTATCTGGTGTTAGGTAAGGGTCCCACCCCACTGTGCTGCCTGTGGACATCCAGTTTTCCCAGTTCCCCATGGTGAAGAATCCTTTCTCCAGTGAACAGAGTTGGCAACCTCATTTGACCATAAATAAAACTGTTTGTTTCCAGGCTCTGTCTTGTGTTCCATTGATCTGTGTACCATTATCTCATTGTCTTGATCACTGTAGATTCATAGAAACCAGGAAATGTGAGTTCTTGAGTTTTGTTCCTCTTTTTCAAAATTGTTTGGGCTATTTGAGATTCCATGAGTTTTAGGATGGATTTTTTTCCCTATTTCTGCATCTACTGTGATTTTCATAGGGAATGCAATGAATCTATCTAGATTCTTTGTATAGTATTGGCAAAAATATTTTTAAGTGCTGGGGATCAAACCCAGGGCCTCACACATGCCAGACAAGTGCTCTGCCCCTGAGTCACATCCCCAGCCCAATACTGGCATCTTAAGTATTCTGTTCTTTTCAGTGTTCCATTGTATGGAATTGTTTTCTTGATTTCCTTCTCCGATTTCTCATTGTTCATATATAGAAATGCAACTTGACTTTTGTGTGTTGATTTCGTATCTTGCAACTTTGCTCAATTAGTTGATTTCACTGTGTGTTGATTTCACATGAGAGAGAGGGAGAGAGGACAAGGGGATCTTTAGGGTTTCTACATATAAAAATCACATCATCTGCAAAAACAGATAACTCTACTGCTTCTTTTCCAATTCAAATGCTTTTCTTTACATTTCCTAATTGCTCTTGTTAGAACTTCCAGGACTGTGTTGATTAGAAATCTTTGTCTTATTCCTGATCTTGCAGGAAAAGTTTTCAGAATTTCCCCACTGGTATGAGGCTAGCTTGCTTTTCACATAAAGTCTTTTTATGTTGAGTACTTTTCTTCTGTCCCTAGTTGGTTGAGTGAAAGTGACTTGAAATGTGCCAAATGCTTTTTTTGCACCAACTGAGATGATCATGTGTTTTTTTCTTCATTATAATGATTGATTATCATGTATTGATCCCTCCTTGAATTCCAGAAATTCCAGAAAATTCCCCACTTGGTTATGAATAATGAACAATCCTTTCACGATTTGATCAATTTCAGCTTGGTAGTGTCTTCTTGAGGATTTTTGCATTAATATTCTTAAGAAGGACTGCCTGTACTTTCTTTCCTTGTGATGTCTTTGGCTTAGCATCAGGGTAATTCTGGCCTCATAAAATGATTTAGGAAGTGTTTTCTCCTCTTCAGTTTCTTGGAAATGTTGGAGAAGCATTGGTATTAATTCTTTATTTAAATGTTTGATAAAATTCATCAGTAGGTCATCTAGTTCTCAGTTTTTCTTTCATTTTTTAAAAAATTGGTTCTATTTACAGATTTATGATAGAATTTATTTTGCTATAATTGTACCAGCATGGAGTATATCTTATTCTAGTTAGGACCCCATTCTTATGAATGTACATGATGGTGGGATTCACTATGGTGTATTCACATAGAAAAATGTGATTATTAATTTAATCTCTCCACTAATTATAGATCTGTTTATATTTTCTGTTTCTTCACAATTCAGTCTTGGTAGATTGTATATTTCTAGATCTGTCCATTTCACTACTCAATTTTTTTGCACACAGGTGTTCATGGTACTCTCTTATAATCCTTTTATTTAGGAAAACTGATAATGATCCCCGATTTAATTACCAATTTGAGTTATTGAGTCTTTTCTCTCCTTTTTTTTCTTAGTCAATATAGCTAACAATTTGTCAATTTTGTTGATTTTTTTTCAAAGAACCAGCTCTTGCTTTCACTGTAAATTTTCTTTTCTTATTCTCTATTCTATTTATCTCTAATGTTAATTATTTCCTTCATTGCTTTGAGATACTTCTTTTTAAAATGCATTTGCAGCTAAAAATTTCCCTCAACACTGTTTTCATGGTATCCCATAAGTTTTGGTATGCTGTATTTTCACTATCATTTGTCTCAAGATTTTTTTTCTACTTTTCCTGTGATTTGTTTTATATATATATATATATATATATATATATATATATATTCATATATATTTATTTTACATATATATTTTATTTTACATATAGTTTTATATAAATATATATACATTTATATTTACATATATATTTATTTTACACACACACACACATATATATATATACACACACACATACATTCCAAATGGTCTATAGTGTTGTTCATGTCCCCTGTTTCCATATTGGTTTTCTGCTTGGTTGTTCCATCCAACATTGAAAATGGGGTCTCGGGTCTGGGATTGTATCTCAGTGGTAAAGCGCTCGCCTAGCATGTGCAGGGCACTGGGTTCTATCCTCAGCACCACATAAAAATAAAATAAGGTATAGTGTCCAACTACAATTAAAACAAAATATTTTTTTTAAAAAGAGGCCTGGACATGGTGGCACACGCCTGTAATCTCAGCAACTCAGGAGGCTGAGGCAGGAGGATGACAAGTTCAAGGCCAGACTCAGCAACTTAGCTGGCTCTAAGCAACTTAGTAAGACCCTGTCTCAAAATAAAAAATAAAAAAAGTGCTTTGGATGTTGCTCAGTGGTTAAGCACCCCTGGGTGTAATCCCTGCTATTAAAAAAAAGTGGAGGTACTGGTCCATCTTACTATTAATTTAAAGCCGTCTCTTTTCCCTTCAATTCTGTTCTTTTTGCTTCATATAATCTGGAGTTCTGATATTTGGTGCATATGTATTTATAATTATTACACTTACTGGGTGAGTGGGCCCTCCTGTTAATATTTCATGACCTTTTTTGTCTCATAGCAGTTTTTAACTTAGAGTCTGTTTGCCTAACACCATTACAGCCACCTGTTCCCTTTGGCTACTGTTGCATGGACTATATTTCCATCCTTTCCCTTTCAACCCTTGATGTCCTTACACCTAAAGTCAGTGCTTGTGGACAGCATAGAGTTGGATCCTGTTTTTAAAATCCTTTCCTTTATCCTGTGCCTTTTGATTACTGAGTTTTAATTCATTTACATTTAAAGTGAACTGATAGGGATGGATTCACTTTTGCCATTTTGCTGTTTTTCTGTGTGTGTTGTAGATTTTTGTCCCTTATTTCCTCCTCCTTGTTTATTTATTTATTTATTTGCATTGCTGGGGATTGAACCCAGATCCTTGCACACATTAGGCAGGTGCTCGGCAATTGAGCTACACCCCCAGCATTTAGTACCTTTTTTGTGTTAGTTGATTTTTTTTTTTAATCTTTATTATATTTACTTATTTTTATGTGGTGCTGAGGATCAAACCCAGTGCCTCACGTGTGTGAGGCAAGCATTCTGCCACTGAGCCACAACCCGAGTCCTGATTTTTTTTTTTTTTTAGTGACATGTTTTTATTCCCTTTTTACTTCCTTTTTTGTACACTCCACAGATATTTTCCTTGTGGCTACCATGGAGATTACACATGGCATCCTAAAATTATGACAATCTAGTTTAAACTGATACCAGCTGAAATTGCATAAATATATGCTTAAGGGAATTCTAGAAGGAGAAGAAAAACAAAAGTGTAAAGAGATTATTTGAAAAAATAAAGACTGAAAACTGCAAGTTTGAGTAAATACATGGCTCTACAAATGTCTACTTCTTCGTAGCTCTGCCTCCCTTTATGCTACTGATGTCACAAATTGCATCTTTCTATACTGCCCTATATCCATTTACATAAGTTTTATAAATTTCTACATGTTTATCTTCTAAATTCTACATAAGGTAAAAGGTAGAATTACAAATCAAAATTATAATGACACTGGTTTTTATGTTCGTTCATGTATTTACCCTTACTAGAGAATCTTTATATTTTTCTGTGGTTCAAATTTCTAACATTCTTCCATTTCAACTTGAAATATTCCCATTAGCATTCCTTATAAGGCAAGTCTACAGAAGATGAACTCCCTCAGCTTTCATTTATCTGGAGATATCTTAATTTCTGCCTAATTTTTGAAGGACAGTTTTGTGGGATATAGAATTCTCAGTTGTTGGTTTTTCTTTTTCTTTTTTTTTTTTTTTTGTCATCCCACTGCCTTCCAGTCTTCAAAGCGTCCCCTGAATAAACCACTGATCATCTTTATCTTTGACAAGTTACGTTTCTTTTGGTGTTCAAGATTCTCTCTGACTTTGGTTTCCAGTGGCTTGATTATAATGGGGGTCAATGTGGAACTCTTTAAATCTATCCTATTTGGAATTCACTGAGGTTCTTGGATTTGTAGAGCCATGTATTTACTCAAATTTGCAGTTTTCAGTCTTTAATTTTTTAAATAATCTCTTTATACTTTTGTTTTTCTTCTCCTTCTGGAATTCCTTTGAGGCATATATTTACCTACTTGATGGGGCCCCACAAATCAATGTCCTGGGCTCCATTCACTGTCTTCAAGTTTTCTGCTTCTTTTTTCTGTCTTTTCTAGCCTGCTGTTGAAAAAAAATCTATTGATTTTTTTTTCAATTAATTTTTTGTGTGTTTTTCAGATCTAAAATTTATTTCTTTTCTTTTATAATTCTCATTTCGTTCAAATACTGTTTTCTTAAATTACTTTTATTTTGTTTTAGTACTGGTGATTAAAAACAGTGATGCTCTACCACTGAACACGTGACCACTGAACACGTATTCAGCCCTTATATCTTTTATTTTGAGACACTAGCCTCAAACTTTTGATTCTTCTGCCTCAGACTCCCAAGTAGCTGAGATCACATCATTTTGCATATAGGTATGTGCTATCACACCTAACTATCTGTAGTTTATTTTTTGTTTTATTTTGTTTTATTTTGTTTTCTGTACTGGGGATTGAACCAGGAGTGCTTAACTACTGAGCCTCATCTCTAGCCCTTTCTATTTTTTAATTTTCAGGTAGGGTCTCACTAAGTTGCTGAGGCTGGCCTTGAACTTGCAATCCTTCTGCCTCAGCCTCTTGAGTCCCTAGGATTACAAGCATGTGCCACCACACCCAGCTTGCTTTCATTCTTTGAATATACTTTCCTTTAGCTCTTTAAGCATATTTAATAGAGTCATTTTAAAGCCTTTGCCTAGTACTTTGATGCTTGTGTTTCTTCAGAATTTCTTTTTCTTTTCTTTTTTTTTTTTTTACAGAGAGAGAGAATTTTTTAATATTTCTTATTTTAGTTTTTGGGGGACACAACATCTTTGTTTGTATGTGGTGCTGAGGATCGAACCAGGGCCGCACGCATGCTAGGTGAGCGTGCTACTGCTTGAGCCACATTCCCAGCCCTCTTCAGAACTTCTAATGCTGTATTTTGTTGCTTTAACTGAGCCATGTTTTCCTGTTTCTTTGTATGTCTATCAGTTTGTTGTTGTTTGATTATAATGTGACTCAATGTGAAAGTTGAAAAACCTGGGCATTTGAAAAAACTGCAAACCCTCTCAATCTTCATAGCCGGGATCTGGGCAAGGGAAGACCTTTTTCAACTAGCAGGTCATGTTCTGAGACTGAGGTCAGCCCTTCATGAAGGAAGTATCTGTGGGAGACCAACCTTACACATGACTGGGTCACACTCCCAGGCTGGGTGCTGAGGCACTCAGTCACAGAAATGTGGTCAGTGTGTCTCTTGCATGGGTGTGTCTTGCTACAGCCCCATGGGTGAAGCTATGCTCACCTGTTCCTTTGTAATATAACCCCTTGCCCTATTTAGGTTAGAATCTTCCATGGAAGTGCCTTGTGTGTGTCCCCTCCTCTTACTGTGCAGCATACCCCTTGGGTGCAGCATACCCAGGTGTCAGTCAACCTGCTGACAGTGGACATCATGAAGATACTCAGCCCCCTGAAATCTGACCCCTTGCCTCATTTGAATAGCTTCCCTCAATAAAGGGAGTCAGCACGTGCTCTCACTCTCTCTCTCTCTCTTTCTGCGGACCCTTAAGGTCAGAGGAGCCGTCACAGCGACCCCAAAGACAAAGGTATTTGTGTCTCTTTGTGGTTATTTCGTGCAGCCCAGTTAGCCCAGTTTAACTGGAGTGACCCCTGAGCCTTTTAGTCGCAAACAGAAACCCGGCAAGTATCCTCAGGCCTTTTCTTGGCACACAACTTGCAGGGGTCTGTACATACTTTTCAGATCCCCCAAATATGTTTCTCCTTTTAGATGTTTTAATTTCCCAAAGAGTCTCACCCTTCCCTGCTTCTTCTTGGGGCCTTGTGTGTTCTACTCTATCCACAATCTGTTGCCCCAGGCTTATCCAGGTTTGTAGTCCCCTGGCAGTTCACTAGCTATGCCTGCTACCTGGCTTTTCCAAGCCTGGGCTGTGAACGAGGCTACTCTTCGCCATCTGGGCTCCAAGTTCAGTGAAACAGAGGCCAATCTCCCAGGCAGGTTAGAACGCTGCTCCCCTCCTTCAGATATGAGGGCAGGAAGTGTAAACTGGGTTCTAGACCCCCGAGATTACAGACTGCACCATGCCATGCTGGGAAGGGGGTAGGAAAAGGTCAAGTAAAAACCTCACAGAAATTCTTTTCATTTGAATGTCTCTTTTTCTTGGTTCAGTAATCAATTTGTTGCTGTAGACCTTTGATTGTTTTCAAGAGCTCCTATAACATTTTGACCAATTTAAAAAATGTTCCCATGAGAAATGAGGCCCTGAGTTTTCCTAGTCCACCATCTTCCTGACATCACCCCAACTCCGCTTCCTATTTAATATCCCCTAGGTGTGAAAGCAGACCACACTATCACTGAGTGCTGCATCCCCCACACATACCTGAGTTTATTGCTCAGTCTGTCCTCCTTGCTCTTGCTTTTATACACACCTGCTTTCCCAAGAAAGCCATGTGCCATTGAAATATGATGGCCACAGTCCTTGTGTCTGGCCAGAGGGATGGTGACTGCTAATGTTCTTCATGAAAACAGCCCTTTCTGGTACTCAGATGTCACTGTCAAACTTCCTTGCACCAAAGCTGCCAATTCTATCTTATCCACTGTTATGATTTGGATACAAGGTATCCCCGAACGCTAATGTTAGTCAATGCAAGACCGTTCAGAGGTGAAATGGTTAGATTATGAGAGCTGTAACTTGATCAGTGGATTAATCCATTTGATGGATCAATAATATGAATGGACTTCTGGGTGGTAACTGGGGGTGGGGCATGGCTGGAGGAAGTAGGTCACGGGGTGAGGGGGTATGATTTTGAGGATTAAGTTTTGCCTTTGCTTCTAATGAGTTTTCTTCCACCATGATGTTCTGCCTCACCTCAGGCCCAGAGCAGTGGAGTCAACTGACCACACTCAACCTCTGAAGCCATGAGCCCAAACAAACTTTTCCTACTCTAAGGTTGTTCTTGACCCATAGTTAGGTCATAGTAATGAAAAGCAGACTAATGCATCCTCTTTTCCTTGCCCATCTCCCAAGAAGATTTGAGAATGTCTAGATTTCTCTGAAGAAAAAAAAAGTAAGTAACTTTTTTTCCTCTGGGGGAAAAAAAAGTTAAAATGTGCTGGCCACAAATGAAGATATTCAGTTCCAAGTCAGCCCACTGAGGCAATTTATTTCCCAGTGGCTTTGAAAGCACAAAGGATAACCAAGAGCCCATTTGTTCTGTTTTGAAAGTAAAAAACTGAAATAGACCTATAGGGCAAGACTGTGGCTCAAGTGCCTGAAGGTAGGAGCACCCAACCTTGGACGTCCCTGCAGGGTGGGCCTGGCCTGCCGTGGAAGAGGCCACATTCAGGAGGAGTGGACGTTCTTCCAACAAGAGTGCAGAGGAAATTGGGACTATCCAGACACCTAGAAACACTCAACTGAGAGAAGTAACCGCGTTGGCACCTCTGCTGTGGTGTTTTCAAGCCGTAAAGGGGCCTTGTTGATTGTTGGAATGAAATTCCTTATGGAGGGCACAAAGACCCTATTGACAGTTTCTTCAGTTGCAACCACCTGCTGCCTTTGATTTGAAAATAACAATGAACATTCCTCCTACCTCTCCCTACCCATCCCCCCCTCAGCCTTTCCCGCCCTCCCTCCCTCCCTCCCTCCTTACCTTCCCCCCTCCTTACCTTCCCCCTCTCTTCCAGCCAGTTTCCAGTGAGCACTCTGGTCGAATACTGTTTCTCAATCTGCCAGCTTGGAGTAGAGAACGACTGTGGAGCCACCCCCAAAAATACCATGGTAAGGATCTCTCCCAGCCTCCTTGGATTTGATGGGTTTAGGGGGAGGCAGAGGAATTACAGAGTTGCCGCACTATCTTCCCAGTCACCCTCCTGAGTGGAATTGAAAAAAAAAAAAAAAAAAAAAACTCTGAGAGTTCACTTTCAGCCTCCAGGGAGAAGGACTGGATCTGGGTTCTCTATTGTTTACTGTCTCCGTGGGGACAGACTCCAAGTATAAATACTCTCCTTCAGGGAACAGCTGATTCTGCAGGCACAAAATTGACCCCATAAAAATAAACCAAACCAACAAGTCTCACCACAGAAACAGTAGTGGAAAGACCTGGTTTCTGTGTTAACACCCCAAAATGGGCATCAGCCTTGCCACATTTCTCCAATGGGGTGAGTTGAATTCTGCTACTTAATGAGTGCCAATCAGTGAGCTAGACCCAGGCTGAGATATTGACATGTCTTCTGTCTCAGTAGCTTCTGAGGCAGGTGCAACTATTGTACCCATTTTCCAAATGAGAACACTGAAGCAGAGAGAGATCAAGCAGTTATCTAAAGTCACACAGCCATCACGTTAAGCTTAAACCCCTGGGTTCCATTCACTACCTGTCTGCAGTTTTGCTCAAGGGGCTTCAGTGAAGAATCTTGTATTTGTGTTTGTATCGATACAACATGGTTCGCTCAGTCTTCATTCATTCACTCCACAGTCATTTCACATTGTATGTTTGGTGCGGAGCTACAGCTTCCATGTATTAGTGACTAGACCTCAGCCGAGCCCCCAGGTCTAGTCACGAATACATCTCTAACTGAGCTCAGTTCAGCAGGAAGAAGGCCACTCTCTTGCCAATTTGTTAGACAAAAAAGTCAAGACCCACCTAGATGTGTATTGACCGAGGGCTGGTTCAATAACCTGTGCTGCACTCATATAATTAAATTCTCTGCAGCTATTAAGAAGGCTGATGCAGGAAGATGCCTGTAACGCTGGTTAAGTTGAAGAAGCAGAACCCTGCTGCTGTGGGCTTGCTTGCTACAAATGGAAACACTGGATTTCAGTAAGATTGGGAGAAAGTGTTTTCCAACTGCCTTTGACTAAAAGCAGGAGAACTCCTGGAAACTGCTGGTTTCATCTTGATGCCAAATTTGAAGACCAGGAAGATGTGTCACTGAGCAGAGCAAGCCTCTGTCAGGGGTCACAGTGTGGGCATGGCTGATGTGAGGAAGACAGGGTCCTATCTTTTTAATGAAAGTTCCAGGGGATCATGTATTCTGTGTAATTCCACTTGTAAAACCTTTCATTTTAAAATGTGACTTAAACATGAACAGTTTCAGTAAAAATAAATCTACAGATACATATGCTGGAAAAGCAAAATCTCACAAAACCACTGAGTAGGTCAAGGAAACATTTCCCACACCCCACAGTGTTCCACACGCCTCCTGCCACTCAAACCCATTCCACCCCCCAAGAAAACTACCATCCTGGCTTTATGACAATAGCTTCCCTGTTTATTGCTATATGCCCAGCACCAAAGTCTATCTTCCTAAATGCTAATGTAAAGCTGGGGGAGGGGGTGTAGCTCAGTGGTAAAGTGTGTGCTTAGCACACAGGAGGCCCTGGGTTCCATCCCCAGCACAAAAAAAATCAGATCAAACTAAACTAGCATTTAGTTTTGCATGTTTGTTGGTTTCATAGAAATATAATCTCATGGTATATATGTATTTGAGTCTAGGTTCTCTTTTCTTCAATGTAGTTAGTGCTTTTAAGTTTCAATCATGTTGCAGGTAGCTGTTGACCTCAAATAATAACAGAAAGGGCTATCTTTGATACTACACCAAAAGCTAAATTATTTTTTCCTCTTGGGAGTTCAGTAATGGAATGCAAAACTCAAGAATTCAAGGAATTATTATATTATAATCTGTGATGTGCGTGCTGTGATCAATCAGGCACATCCAGGGAGGTTGGGGCAGTGGGCAAAAAGGAGAAAGAGGTGCTGCAGGTTGTTTGGAAACAGAAGTTTGCTGGTTATGGGGGTTGATCATGGGAAGTGACATGTCCTGGCCACAGCTGAGAGGGTCTTCCCAGAAGCAACCGGACTGCAGGCCTGTGGATTGTTAAGGGTGCTTGCAAGGGTGCGGTTAGAACTGGCTGTGTCTGGAAAGAAGAGCTCACAGAAGTGGCCCTAACTGCCAGGTTGTGTCTGGCAGTCTCTTGTGATATTCTTGTTTTGGACAGATGTGTGGGAGAGCCCATCTTTCTGTGGGCAAGGATGATGCCCATCTTGGGGCGTCAACTTCTTTTTATTAGGGTTTGACAAATGACTGGATCTTGATCCTCCCAACTTGCACCTAGTTGCTGTTGCTATGGCAGCATAATATGCTTCTCCCAGTGACCAGATGTAGCCCCTTCTCTAGATCAGAGGTTGTCAAACGTTTGGGTCTCAGGACCTCTTCAGTCTTGTAAAAAGACTGGAGAACTCCTAGAAACTGCTTCCCCCAGCCCCATATTGGGAATTGAACCCAGGGCTGCTCTACCACTAAGCCCCATCCCCAGTCTTTTATTTTTTTTAATTTTGAGGCTAGATTTCTCAAAGTTGTCCAGGCTGGTCTGGAACTTGCAATCCTCCTGTCTCGGCCTCCTGAGTCACTGGGATTGTAAGTATGTGCCACTGCACCTGACTCAGAGGGCACTTTTTTTTTTAATGTGGATTAAATTTAGTGGTACTGGAGCCATGTCCTATCAGGTCATGTGAACCAATTGTCATGGTGGAGATATTTACACCATGGAATTGGCTACTGCTGTATACATATCAGGGTGTTTCCCTTTGCTTGTTTGTTTTTTTCAGAGAGCCAGTTTACCTTCAGGACACCAATTAGTTCCATCAATAGTCACCGTATTAGAAATTCAAACAAATCCAAAGTGTGTTTATTGATTCCAAAATTGCAAAACTCGTTGCATGTTAACATAGTTAATTTTTTAATGAAAAGTAACTCTGTTTTCCAAAACAAAAATTTGGTGAAAAGAATGGCATGTTTTATGTTTTTGCAAATATGTTTCATGTCTAAACTGATAAAGACAGATTCGTACATCTGACTGCCTTCACGCTGTTGGATATATTGCTCTTTTACTTTGTGTGTCTGTGTATGTGTGTGTGTGTCTGTGTGCGTCTGTGTGTGTGTGTGTCTCTGTGTGTGTGTGTCTGTGTGCGTCTCTATGTGTCTGTGTGTGTGTGTGTCTGTGCGTCTCTATGTGTCTATGTGTGTGTGTGTGTCTGTGTGCGTCTGTATGTGTGTGTGTGTGTGTGTCTGTGATGCTGAGGGTCAAACTTGGGGCCTAGTGCTTACTAGGCAAAAGCTCTACCACTGAAGCTATACCCCCAGCTCTATTGTTTTATTTAAAGGAGAAAAATACAGCCTCATATATATCTATAGTTAAAAAAAGAAGGGAATATTTAAATAGTTCTTGATGTGAACTGTGGATGTTCTGTTGTGATGTTGTAACATAACAGGAAAAACATATTTGAGCTACATTACCAGTTCCTGGCACAGAGCTTATAAATTACTTTAATATCCTGAGTAATAGGTGACAAAGGAGCACCTTTTGTCAATTGTTAACAAGTCCCTTTTAACCATAAGGGAGTCTCTGCTAATCAGGTGACTCTTGGTGACTCCTGGGTAGCTTCAGGATGGGGCTGCTTGTCAAAGGTACTCCATTCTCTGACCTCCTTGTAGGGGAGAGGGACTGTGGCTGAAGTTAGCCTCCGATAGCCAATGACTTAATCAATCATGCCTATGGAATAGAGTATCTGTAAAACCCTAAATGAAGGGGTTCAGAGAGCCTCTGTGTTGGCAAAAGTATCCAGCACACCCCAAAGATCACAGAGACCACAGCTCCTGTGCGTGGGTCTTCTGGACCCCACTCCATGTACTCCTCATCAGACTGTCATTGGTATCCTTTGTGACATCCTTTATAACAAACGGGTAGTAGTTTCCTTGGCTTCTGTGAACCATTATAGTAAATTATTGAACATAAGGAGGGGCCACAGGAATCTCTGATTTATAGATTTATAGCAAAGGCAGGCAGAAGTGTGGGTAACTTGAGACCCCCAACTTGGTTGGCATCCAATGAGGGGGCAGTCTTACGGGCCTGAGTCCCTAACCTGAAGGTCTGCATGACTTAGCGTCAGAACTCAGTTAGATTGTCAGACACCCAGTTGGTACCTTAAGAGGACTGGAGACTTGCTTGGTGTGCTGGGGAAAATCCAATACTTCTAGTGTCAGAAATGTTACAAGGAAAAGTCAGATCACAGGGGTTGTGCCTTTGATCCTACATCAAAACTCTTAAAGAGTTGTATTGTGGCATTAAAATCCACTGGCTCATTTTGTGCTCTGAGTAAATCTTTTACCTGTTCATCATTTTGTCACACTGCAGAGGTCATTTGGAAAATATTAGTTTCCTGAGCTGTGTGGATCTTTCAAGTGTTGATGTTATTTAAAAATCATATTTGTTAGTATCGATGCGAATCTCATCAGAAAAAGCATGTGTTTAGGAAGTTGTTATCCACAGTTCCCCGTGGTAGGTAATAGTTTTCCAAAGTCCTAGTTTTACCTTTGAAAGTACAAAATTTTGTCACTGGCAACTATTCTAAGTTTTTTTGTTTTTCCTGAAAGTGATAAACTTACTTCATTTCAAGAAAACATCTGACAAGCCTGCACGGTGGTACACGCCTGTGATTCCAGCAACTCAGGAGGCTGAGGCGCGAGGATCACAAGTTTCAGGTCAGACTCAGCAATTTAGGAAATGATGAATGAGCATGAGCTGGTGCAGAGGGAACCGGGTGGTTGTGGGATGGTGCATTTGGAACACAGACCTACTGGAAATTCCAGTTCCACCACTTACTAGCCATTTAACTTTGACCAAGTTCCCTGGCCAAAGCAATGCTGGTTTCTTAACGTGTAAATTGGGACTAAATACTATGTACTTCATAAGATGGTGAGAACGCCATGAGCTGTTACCTCTGCGGTGCCTGGGAAAGTGCTGGTCACATCTAGAAGGTCAATAGGTGTTTGGTTCTTTCTTCCCTTTGTGCCTAAACCAAGTTTATCTTAGTAATAAAATGTATTCTTTTCCCTACAGTTAGAGGAGTATATTTGGGAAATTGGGACAGAAAAGCCCCAAGAGGAATAATTCTCAATTCTCTTTGAACAGAGGATTTTTACATAGGAGAACAGCTTGCTCATCCCGCCAGGGAGTTTGCTGTGACTCTGATAAACAGCACCCCTGTGATGGTGAAAAACGTGTACTCACCCCTGTTGTGCGTTCTTTACAGGGATAACTGCAGGCATTAGGCATGATGAGCCTTGCTTCTAGATAAGAAAACAGAGGGACTAGGAGGTTAAGTAAATCCCGGGCCTCTGGTTTGCTCTGGACTGTGTGTTCATCACTGCCTCAGGGAAGGCTTTGCAAAAACAGAGGCAGGAGCCCAGAGTGCGTCTCTTGAACTTCAATTTATGTCCTTTAGGGATGACACAGGCAGGATCCTTAAGGGTTTTTCTATGAAAAGAAATGCTTTGAAACACAACTGCCAGCACCACTTTTCCTGATTCAACCTGGGGCAGCATTGGCAAGCCAGCCAGCTGGGATGTTGGTGTTCTGGCCTGAGGACAGAGCAAGCCTGACAGCTTGTGAATCGGGAGCCAGTTTGCTGACTCTGGCATCCTTTGCTTTGTAAGACAGAGGCGAAAATATCAGACAAAAACCCAATAATGGCTTCTTTGAGGGTAGGATCTTTCCTTTTAAAATACAGACATGGCATACCCTCTCTGTCCCCCTCTACCAATTGTCAAAACAACCATTTTTCTTTTTGTGTTTGGGGGTTGGATGCTACAGTCCTCTTCCCTACAAATTGAGATCTGCTGGAATACAGTAGGCATTTCGGTTGTATCCATCAACACTTAAAATGTGCCCAGCCAGGTGTGGTGGCACTTGCCTGTAATCCCAGCAACTTGGGAGGCTGAGGCAGGAGAACCACAAGTTTTAAGGCTGGCCTCAGAAACTTAGCAAGACCCTGTCTCAAAATTTAAAAAAAAGGGGGGGGGCGGGGCTAGGAGATGGAACTCAGTGGTAGAAATGTCCTGGATTCAATCCCCGGTAAATAAATAGATAGATAGATAGATAGATAAATAAATTTTAAAATGAATTAATTAAGAAATAAAATGTGCCCAGTCAACAGCTCTCATTTTTGAATCTATCCCTGAAGCAGAAGAGAAGAGGGTAAAGAAATGTCCATTATGAATTTGTCACAGTGAAAACCTGGGAACAGACCAAATGTGCCCACCAATAAAGAGAATAGCTGAAAAGTGTCAAGTAGCCACACCAAGGAACACTGTTACCAGAGTCCTCCACCAAAGCCTGACTCCGGGGGTGCCCAATAAATGAGGTCCAGCCACTTGCCCCAAAAAAAAAACAAATGAAAAAGTATTGGTGGAAGGTAAAAAAATAAAACAGGGGCTGGGGTGGTGGCTCAGCGGTACAGCGCTTGCCTAGCATGTGTGAGGCACTGGGTTTGATCCTCAGCACCGCATGTAGATAAAATAAAGATCCATTGACAACTAAAAAAATATTAAATTAAAAAAAATAAAGCAGGAAAAGAACGAGAATCAACCTGGCCTCCATGGGAAGCAAGTAGCTCAGCATCTCAGCCCTGTCTTAGGGCTTCTGACATGAGACTTAGCTTCACACAGAGGAAGAATTGGGGCAGGGAATGAGGGGTTTGCGTAATTAAACAGCTTTAGTCAAACTGCTTCCTGGTTGATCTTTATCCAGTTCTGGTTCTGCAAGGTTGTTCCAGAAAAGTCCTTATCACTTGAATGGGAATCTCCATTTGCCTCACAGGATATTTATCTATCTACCGTGTAATCCTGGGAGGGGGCGATTTGGTTCCTGGGAGATCACTGACTGATCTGCTTGGGGGTGCAGGGCAGTCTGGTGATGGGGTGATCTGCCTGCAAGGCTCTGCTGTTCCTGGGAGGTGGCAGACAGTGACTGGAGACTTCTAGGCTCTATTCCAGGGGTCTGGAAACAGGATATTATAAAAATCTAGCAATTCATTGTCCCTGAAGATCTTGAAAATACCTTAGTTATTCCTATCTTGCTGTTTCCATCCTTGAAGGGGGGGACTAGGAGCTTTAGATGAATACTCCTTAAATGATCAACATGTCTATGTGCAGAGTTGAGCAGCGATTTGGCCCCAAGTTTAAGGTAACAAAGGAAACAGAGACAAAACGAAGGCACAGATGCCACACTCTTCTCCCGCTCTTAGTTACCCACTGGGTGCCTGCAAGGCCAAGTGAAGACTCAGTGCTTTTGAGAAAAGCAGGCTCTACATCCCTGTTCTAATACCATGCTGCAGCTACAAAGAATAAAATAAACCTACTTCATAGGCTAGATTCCTCTGGTATATTACTGAGTGAAAAAACTCAAGATGCACAACATTGTCATGCGCACACTGTGACACATTTGCTTCTTTCCACCATGTCAGAGTTTACTGAATAACAACACGTTCACAGGCTACACCACTTTCACTGGTGGCAGTTCATGGATTACTTGTGGGTCTCCTGATAGTCATAAGCCAGATTCTTTTATTCCATTCTTCACTACTAATATCGGTAGCACTCAAGTCACACATCACACAAAACACACACACACACACACGTTACAGAAAGGCTAAGGGTTAAGGTAGCCACTGGGCTCAGGGGACCAAGCTGAGAACAAAGGCAGGGAGAACCTATGATGGCAGAAGTCACAGAAGGTGGCCAGAGAAGATGAGGAAATAGCCCAAGGACTTTGTTCAGAGTGCAGAGCTGTCAAAGCGCAGGAACTTATTCTAGGCCAAGGTCCAGAAGGGTGGCAATTTCAGAGAGTCAGCTTGGAGTGGGCCACGCGTGGTTGTCACAGGCAGGAGAAACCGCACTCAGCTGAAGCCTGATGGCATAGGAAACCAGAGGCTCATCACTGTGCCCATTTTCCTGGGCAAAGCCCATGACAAGTAACCAGGTGACAGGGTCAGTGTGCCACCACATCCAGTCTCAGGGTGCTTCTGCTTTTGTGGGCCTCAGGTGAGGGGCTGCTTCATTTGGTGGTCTGCTCTGTTCCGTATGCTCATGGGCCTGGGTTTCCCAAAATGAGTTTAATACCCCCATGGATCCATGTGCTTCTGATCAATTCAGTAAGTCCCCTGATGGTCATTTTTATTAGCACGATAATTTTATTTATCAGTTTGTGCCTCACGACGGGGCTAGGCAGATGGTGGTTGTTTACTTGTGTAAATAAGATATAGAGTCATTCCACTTTAGCACTGAATTCAAAATGGAGTAAGTCATGGCAGGCTACTGCTTAGGCACAGCCTGAAAGCCCCTACATCATGGAGCAGCTCAGAGCAGGGCACAGCCTGCTGTCCACAAACATGTGAAGAATAATACAATATTTGGCAAAGTCATCCCCCAAATAATACTCTATGTTTTCTGTGGGTATATATCTGTGTATGTAAATGCAAAGAAACAGGCTTGAAAGGATTAGAATATCACACTAGCCCTGAGCTAACTGGCAGATCTTTCTAGGGAAGTCCTGGGGTCTTCCATCCTTGACTCTGGGCTTAAAGGTCGGTGGGTACCCTCTCCCCTGAGCAGAGTCAGCTGTGTACCTCAGCGGTACATTCAAAGAGGGGCCTAGAGTAACTGATTCTAAAGCAACTCAGACTTAGAGAGAGAGCTGCAGTCAAGAACGTAAAGGCTGCTCTGAGCCCGGAATCTGGGCAACAGCAAGAAAAGGCACCTTGTGCCCCCAGAACTCAGAGCTCCACTGGAAAAGCCCAGTGAGACTTCAGATGGTGCCCTTGGACCTTCCCTGGGTATGGCCAACCAGGCCCCACTGTCACATAGTCCAGATTGGCCTAGACAGTCTGAACTCTAGCCAAGGAGGACATGAGAAACCTTGGTTTGCAGATTCACTCTTGTAAATGGCCACTAAAGATGGTCATCTCCAACTTTCCCAGTAGTGAACGTGAACACAAGCCCCAAACCTACCTCTGCTTTGCACTATTTGATTGTAGAATCCAGAGGAGGAAGGAGACAATCACTTATCCCTACCCAATACCACCTAAGGTAGCCACAGAGAGCTCTGTGTGGGGACACTCCAGCAGGAAGGAAGCAGGGTCACAGTCCCTTGATGAAGTGGGTGATCACGTTGAGAATTCTTGCAGAGCATGGGAAGTGCAAACAGCCGAGGTCAAGGGTGTTGAGCACGCCATGAAAACCATCCTCCATGTGGTGCCATGTCACCCGCACCCCCAGGTCTTCCAGCCTCTTCTTGTACAGGAGCGAGTGGTCCCGGAGAAGATCATACTCGCAGCTCACGATGCAAGCCTCTGGGAGCTGAGACACCACATCATCTCCTGCAATCAGGGGTGAGCACGCCGGATGCAGAAGGACGTTTGTCTCCAAGAAAGCAGCTTCGTCCAAGGGCGCAGGGGCCACAGGGTGGTAGCCTCTCTTCTTAAACCTCTCTGGGATGTTTTCTGAGTCCAACCACTTTTTATACTTCTCCCAGACTTCTGGAGGCAAATGGGCACCTTTCTTCATGGTGCTTTGCCAGGAAGGGTTGATATCCAGGTAACAGCACAAACAGTAGAAGGCAAATGTCCAGGTGAGCAGAGGGACATTCTTGTTCTGCTGATAGGAAGGAGACTGGAAATCCAGGCCTTGGAGAGCTGCGTAGATCATAATTTGAGCGCGGATCCGGGGGAGACCCCGACTGCTGGCCAAGGTTTGACAAATGATGGTGGCCACGCCCCCTCCCACACTGTCACCACAGACCACAACCCGAGCGGGGTCCACCCCATAGGCATCCAGGGACTGCAGGAAGTGGATGGTGGCCACAATACAGTCTCTGACCATCACGGGAAACTTATACTTGGGTGACTTGCGGTACCTGAAAAGAAATCAAGGAACACAGTTTATGCTCATCATCCCAGGAAAGCCCAAAGTAGCTGTGTCTGTAGCATCTTTTAGCCCAAATTTCTCCTGTTAATGTCCCTTTCTGAAAGCTTGGCAGCTGGAGGTAAGTGTGAGGCTTGAACAATATGGTAGACAGAAAGCACTTGGTACCAAGCTCACAAGCTCAGGAGCCAGCAGCTGCTGTTCCCAAGGGCTCACGGCCCCCCAGGGAGCAGGGCCTCCACAGGAGCCCTGCCATCCACCCACTGGACAACCACTGGGTAGCACAGCACTAGCCCATACTTCCACTCCTGCCTGGTACTGCTCCCCTGGTCCACAGCTGCCGCTGCCTCCTGTCTTATAATTCAGGCATCTCCTGGCTCACTTGGGTTTTCATTGTAATTCCTCCTTCCCCTCCCACAGGTTTTGTGGGGAGACCAGGTAGACTTCAATCCCACCAATGGCCAGCAGATCACAGGAGGAGTTCAAATCTGCTATGTCCACTTTAGACCGAGGCTGTCACACAGGGCCATCCACCTGGCACTCTTAGACTTCCCCGTTGTTCAAGAGATTCTGGAAATCTGGATTCTTATCAGAAATGTCACCATTTTTTAAATGCTGGTCACCATTGTTTTTTAAGCAACAAACACTCTGCCAGCCATTTCCACTCCCATATCCTCATTCCAGGCTGCCTGGAATTGGGGCTGGGACAGAACCTAATGTTCAGGTGGAGATTTGCTGGAATATTCTCCTGATTATGTCTTGGTTTGGCACAACCAGAACAGTAAGGCGTAGAGGGCCCACAGCCGAGCTATCACTTGGAGCTGAGGGCTATAGGGTGAGGCGTTTGTCCTGGTGTCTCTGTCTGTCCCTGTCTCTCATTTTTTATTCTCCTCAACTACCTTTGCCACAAGAGAGCTAGAACATGTGTCCCATGAGACATCTTGGCAGTCATATTTCTTAAGTACGTGTGCATTTAAGTGAAAGCCACAGGAAAATCCTTGGTAGATGTACTGGACGGCAGGACGGGAGGCCCAGGGAGGGGCTGGCCTATGTCTCCCCTGCCCAGTGTCTGCTACCCCCTTAGAGATTCCAGGTTGTGTGAGCTAGGAGAGGGAGTGGGTTTTGTTTGTTTGCTTATCTGTTAATTTCCTCTCCCTTCCTTGGGGGTCCTCTCTCAGGGAGCACTTGGAAATGGATGTGGCAGTGTTGGGGTTGTCTGGGAGACGACACGGGCACTGCTGCTGGTGTTTAGCAGAGGAGGTCTTACCTGTTTGTAATGTTCCAGGTTCTTCTCTCAAAAAAGAGCTCCTCCACCGAAGTGTGCCCCTGGGGAAGCCCCACCCCTGATCTGCACAGAAAAGGCCACTTCCCACCAGCTTCCAGAAGATGGGCTGCAGCTGGACCTCGGAGGAGGGCTGCAGGCATGGGAAGGCGGTCCTGACCTCTGCCCCTCCGTCTGGCGCTCTCTCTTTCCCTCTCCTCCTCCTTGGCTCCTCACTGCCCCAGCCCCACCCCTGGACTTCTCCACTCTCCCATCTGCCCCCCGATTCCACCTGCCCCCGCATCGCTCCAAATCACAGCTGGCTGCCCTCACCACCCCCCATCCTCCCCTTCACTCACCCAACTGCCACAACCACTGAGCCACTGTCCTTGGACAAACGCAAACACACAGGATGGTGGGTCTCTGGAAGACAAAAGGTTTGTCACATTCACTAGGAAGACGCGCTTCGCTTCGCTAGCTGTCTGCTGCTTGCTGACAGAGCACCACCGGGGTGGGCTCTATGTTTTGCAAACTTGCTTCCAGTTCTGAGTAGCCTTCCTCCCAACTTCCTCACTGCTCCTCCTCCTCCTCTGGACGACTGTCTCCAGAATGGCCAGACCCGGTCCCTCCAACCATTCCTGAAAAACGTCTGAGAAGCTGTTTTGGTCATAGGGCACAGAAGTTTAGGGTGTGATCTAGGGATTCCCCCAAACCAGAGTTCAAAACCCAATTTGGACTCCTTTTTCCTTTTTAGCTTGAGCTAAAATACTACCCAGAGAGTTGCTTGAGTTCTCTGAGGCTTGATTTCCCCATCTGTAAAATGGGGATATTGATACTATCTAGCTTCCAAAAAAGTCTAAGGACTTCAGTGAGATATTGCACATGCAGGGTTTCCACAGTACCCATGACATAAATGTTCTTATTAATAAATACTGTTGTTATCATTCATAATACAAACCAAACCTAAGCCCCCATTGACTGACTAAACCTCTTATTCTCAAAGGCCACCATGAGAGGTCCAACATCCCACAGATTATGAAGCCCAGCTGAAACCAAATAAAGACATCCTTTCTCTGATTTACGGGCAGGAATTAAGATAATAAAACTGTCTCCACTTGGAGTTTTTCCTCTTATTAATTTTCCTTAAATCTTTGATCTTCCTGTTTCCATACCAGAATTTGTGTCAGGCAATACCTCATGGGAAACAAAATGATGTGTTTTAGTTGTTTTCATTCAAAATATTCTTGTTTCCAACTAAATGTAGGTGGCAGTTGCATAGCGCGAGCTACATAACACAGACAGCTACTTCAGAATGGTTCATTTTCTGTGGTATGAATTTCATCTCAAAAAATGCTTTCACTTTGATAAGTATATACAGTGGTCCTTACATATAGGACGTTATGCCTCCACAGAGCCAACCAATGCTGGATCGAAAAGACTTAGTAAAAAAATGTGTCCGAGCCAGGCACAGTAGTGCACACTTGTCATCCCAGCAACTCAGGAGGCTGAGGCAGGAGGATTACAAATTTGAGGCCAGCCTGGGGCAACTTAGTTAGACCCTGTCTCAAAACAAAATACAAAGGGCTGAAGATGGAACTCAGTGGTAGGGATAAAACATCCCTGGATTCAATGCCTAGTACCACCTATAGATAGACCAATATATAAATATAAATATACATATATATAAATAAATATATTTAAAACATTTATATTTTTAAAATGTACCCATACTGAACATTAACAAGCTTTTTTCTTGTTGTTATTTCCTAAATAATAGTATGACATCTATTTACCTAGCACTGACATTGTATTAGGTTTTAAAAGTATCATAGAGATAATTTAAAGTAGGATATGAGTAGTTTTCATGAGTATCTGTAGATCTTGGGATCACTGAAGATTCCTAGAGACAACCCCCATGGATACCTAAGGAACATGGTGTGTACATACATTGGCTGTGTGTATACATATGTGTATATATATGCATACGCACATAGATACACAATTTTTAAAATATTTTCAACATATGGTTAAATCTGTGGATGCATGTGTGTGCGTGTGCATGTGTGCACACTTATTTCCAGAAAAGGTCAATGCATTCCACTCCTTTACTTCCTAAATGGTCTGGGATCCATGAACTGTCCTAGTGTCCCTGGTCACAACAGTGGACTGTAATCTCAGAAGATGACCCTTCTTTGGCGCTCCCTTAGCAGGTTGCCAATCCTTTGGGAGCTCTGGGGAAGACCTCTTACTCAAGCTCCCCAAGACAACTCCACCACCATGATAGAAGACAACACCAGGCCTTGGGGTGCAGGAGGGCGCCTTGGGCTGGTACAGTTTCACAGGGATCGTTCCAAAGCGGAGGTCTTTGACCGTGACCTCCGGATCCTTCTTCAGTGGCTGCAGATCATGCACAAAACTGACAAATTGGGGTAAAGAACAGATCCTCAATTTCTCAAAAACTGCACCCTGTTGGAGAGAGAAGAGGAAAAGGTGGATAGAAAAGGTGCTCTGCATGGGCCATCTCGCATGCCCCCTGCAGTCTGGCTGCCACACCTGCTCTCTGAAGGTGGTGAGAAAAGACTCAGGAAAGAGCAGTCTGGGCCCTGCTGGGCCCCTTCAATATCCCCATCACATCTGGAGTGAAATGTACGCCCACCCAGTCCCCTATGGCCCCAGCGCCAGCCAGCCTCTCTCAACCCACTGCACCCAGACACCTTGCACTTGGAAGCCAGATTTAAAGATAGGTAGTTTGTGTAGTTAGGTAAATCGAGTAAGATAAAGAAAAATGGAGACAATTATCAAGAATGGAGTTCAGGAAACCAGAATAGCACCTGGGGAAATTGAAATGTTAATGTCCCCAAGGGCCCAGAACCCATCCTAAAGAACTGTTAATGAAGTAGCTCCCAGCAAACAGGGAGGTGCTGATCAAACCACCCCAGGCCCTTCCTGCCCAGATCACTTCTCCCTGGCCCATCAGTCCACCTATCTCCCACCTTTTTGGCCTTCCCACCTGCATTCTATCACTTCAGGACAGAGGGAAATAAAGGACAGGAGTGTGGGAGGACTAAAAGAAGACCTTAGCTAGAAAAAAGGGAAGACCTCCCCCTTCCACGGATTCTACCTTTCAGGTCCCCTTCTTCCTCTGGGAGGAAGCCTTTTCTGCTGTCCTTTAATAAATCCTTCCACTTTCCACTCTACCCTTGCCTCGGCATGCTTCTCTGGTGTTATACTTCAGCATTCGGGGAAGCAAGGACTGTCACTGATAAATAGCGATAACAGACTGGAGGTCCCACTGAGATCTACACTGAGGTAAGCTCCTCTCCATGCACCCCGTATCTGTCTGAGGTACATCTTTTCTGTATTTCTTTCTAGAGGATGACGTGGGCACAATTAGTGCAGCCGCCACTCTTCAAGACTCGGGTGAGAGGTTTCCCGGCCTAGGCAGCTCTCAATCACCTGTTCAATACAGAGCAGGCATGTTGGGCTCTGCCAAAGCCACTTCCCACTTTTCTGTCTGGGCCTGGAAAACAATTGGCGTGAGTAAACAGTGTCCCTAATCCTTAGATGCATGGAGGTGGAAGAAAGAGTTTGGGACAACTGCGGAATTACGGTCTGGGCTACACTCAGACATATCCGTAAAGTTCCTTTCTCTTGAACCCCCTCCTGACAGCCCTAAGGGGTATTTAGGGTGATCGGTAGATGAATGGAACTGAGGGAAATCCCCAATTACATTTGCCTCCATGTGGGCTACACAACACTCCCAACCCTGCATCCATTCCCTCCTGGATGCTCCCCTTACTTTGCGGGTCAGAAGCACTAGCAATTCAGATTGTAGGACTGAGAAAGATGTGGGATAATTAGTAAAATGGTGCCCAGGTTCCCCTCATGCGCATAGGTAACTTTCACTAGCTGTTTTAAAATTTCCCATTTCAATGCTTAAAAATGTGCTGTGTTCTCTTTAAGCTGCCAGAGGGAGGCATTTTAAAATCAACCCTCCCAAGAGTCCCTCTGATAGAAAGTGCTCTATGCGTTACAACCGGTAGATACCCCTCACCCTCAGGAGATTCCTTTAGTCCACAGGGCAAAAAGGCAAACAAGAGTGGGCGATTCTCTTTGCTGTGGGTTTTTAGTGGCAGGGAGGAAAGCAGTAATACCCTTAAGTCTGAATCCTCCCGGGGTCTGTGGCACAGGGCAAACTGGGACCCTAGCACTTTGCCAAAGGGGACCAGAAACACCCTTGGCAAAGCAAGGTGAGAGAGGGGTTTTCTAGACTGTAAGGAAACTCAAGCCTATAGGGAGATGTCCCTAATGAGAACAGTTTTCTCCAGCACAGGCGCCTGAGTCCTGTTTTCTTCTCACTCAAATGGGAGCTTCTCTCTCCAATATGCCAGGTGTACCACTAACCTGCATATTGAAAAATTGGGATTTGACCCACAGACGCTCAAGAAAAAGTGCCTCATTTTCTTCTGCCACCAGGCCTGGCCTCAATACAAACTCCCTGATGGAGAATCCTGGCCACCAGAGGAAAGTATCAATTTTAATACAACTTTACAGCTTGATAAACTTTGCAAAAGGGAAGGGAAATGGTGTGAGGTGCCATACGTCCAGGTTTTCTTTGCCCTAAGGGAAAACCCCAAATTATCGCAACAATGTAAAGTAGACTTAGCTATGATATCTGCCATGAAGAGAGAAAATCTTAAGGGATCACCTACTGCGAAGAAAGAATCAGGAGGACGCACAAAGTCTCCATCCCCTGTTGATGGGCAGCAGCGGTCCTCCTGTCCCCCATGTCCTGGCCTCTCTGCATCTGCCCAATAGACAGATCAAATATATTACCCCTCCAGGAGATGCCCGGAGGAGAATTTGGACCAATCAAAGTACATACCCCCTTCTCCCTTCAAGACCTAAGACAGATATAAACAGACTGAGGGAAATTTTCAGAAGATTCAGATAAATATATTAAGGAATTTCAAAACTTAGGCCAGGTATTTAACCTCACCTGGAAAGATATTGTGCTGTTACTCAACCAGACTTCTCCAATGAGGAGGAAGCAGCCCTAAGAGTGCTGAACAGTTTGGGGATGACCTACACCTTGCTCAGGCCCCAGCAGCACAGACTGGGAGCAAACCCAATTATCCACCTGGAGCACCAGCAGTTCCCAGAAAGGATCCTGACTGGGACCCAAATGATGAACAGGATGCTTGGAAAATTAGTCATTTACAAGTGTTGGTCCTTGAGGCCATCAGGAGAATCAAGCAAAAGCCCATTAACTATTCTAAGGTTTCAGAAATTATTCAGGGCCCCCAGGAAAGCCCTGCTATTTTCATAGAGAAACTCAGGGAGGCAATGAGAAAACACACCACCATGGATCCTGAATCCACAGAGGGCCACCTACTTTTAAAGGACAAATGTATTACTCAGTCAGCCCCAGACATTCAGAGGAAGTTACAAAAATTGGCATATGGCCCTGATCAATCTTTAGATAACACCCTGTGACTTGCTACTTCCGTTTTTTATAATAGAGATCAAGAGGAAAAGAAGGAAAAAGAGCTCAGAGACAGAAAAAGGACTGAAGCGCTGGTATTGGCTCTTAGAGGAGTAAGTTCCCAGGATGAAAAAGGAGGAAGACAAGTGCTCCTCAGTCCACAAAAGGGACTTGTTTCCATTGGGAAAAGGAAGGACATTTCAAACGGGATTGCCCAATAGCCAAGAGACCACCCCAAAAGCCCTGCCCTAAATGTCGAGGCAATCACTGGAAGAGTGACTGTCCTCAGGGGCATGGGTCCTTGAAGCCAGACTCCTCCACACAGGCCTGGCAGGGCCCGGGCTCAACTCTGGCTCCCGCACATGAGCCCCGGGTATGCTTCTCCCTAGGGAGCCAAGAGGTCAACTTCCTCTTAGACACTGGTGCCGGTTATTCTGTGCTCACCTCTTACCCCGGACCTCTTTCCTCTAATACTACAACAGTACAAGGAGCGCTGGATGGCCGATCACCAGAAAGTTTACTACCCCGCTGAGTTGTGAGTGGGACGGGGTGATGTTTTCTCATGCATTTCTGATTGTCCCATAATGTCCTACCCCTTTATTGGGAAGAGACTTACTTTCAAACCTTCAGATGTCCATTGCAATGAATTTGGGATCCTGAGGACCATTATGTTTGCCTTTATTAGAATGTAATAAACCCTGAAGTGTGGGCTACTGAAGGCAAAATTGGACGGGCAAAAAGTGCAGTTCCAATCAAAATAGTCTTAAAATATCCTTCTGTCTTTCCACCTCAGAGACAATATCCCCTATGCCCAGAGGCCAAAAGGGGCTTATTGAAGATCATTCAGAACCTCAAAAGACAGAAACTTTTAGTGCCCTGCAACACATGTAACACACCCATTTTAGGAATACAAAAACCCAATGGGGAATGGCGACTAGTTCAGGACCTGAGAATAATTAATGGAGCAGTTGTTCCTCTCCACCCTATGGTTCCTAACCCATATACTCTGTTATCTGATATTCCAGTAGCTGCTGCTTGGTTTACTGTGTTAGATTTAAAGGATGCCTTTTTCTGATATACCCTTAGACTCCCAGTCACAATATCTGTTTGTCTTTGAGGAACCAGATATTGGATCTCAATTAACCAGGACAGTATTGCCCCAAGGATTCAGAGATAGCCCTCATCTGTTTGGCCAAGCCCTAGCTAAGGACTTGACAGAATTCAGAGATAAAACATCTCTGACTGTCCTACGATATGTAGACGACACACTTTTGTGTGCCTCCACTCAAAAGAAATGTCAGGAAGCCACTAAAGGACTTTTAACCTTCATAGGGTTATAAATAAGGGTTATAAAGTCTCAAAGAAAAAAGTGCAATTGTGCCAAAAACAAGTTCAATATTTAGGATTACGGCTGTCTCAAGGACCCTGCAAACTAGAACCAGAAAGAATAACCCCTATAGGACAATATCATCTACTTCAAACTATAAGGCAACTTAGAGGCTTCCTAGGGATAACTGTACACTGCAGGCCTTGGATCCCTGGATATGGGGGATAAGCTCTTTTACAGCCTCCTCAGAGAGACACTACGCCAAGGAACAACTTCCCTGATATGGGAACCAGAACAGATTAATGCCTTTAAGGCATTAAAAGCCCTACTCCAAGCCCCTGCCCTCAGCTTACCCACTGAACAAAAATTCAACCTACTTGCCACCAAGAGAAGAGGAATAGCCCTGGGAGTGGTCACACAAAAGGGACCTGCTCAACAGCCAGTGGCTTATCTCAGCAAGGAGCTTGATCTAGTGTCTCCAGGATGGCCTCACTGTTGGAGAGTAGTAGCAGCAGCAGCCTTACTATTCCCTGAGGCAATTAAAATCCCCCTGGGAAGGGACCTTATTGTCTATACCTCCCATGATTGCTCAGGGATTTTAAATACAAAAGGAGAACTACGGCTCTCAGACAATCGCCTTCTAAAATATCAGAC